AGAAGATGTCTATCATTAACCACCCACTCGCTTGCAGCATCACCAATAAACCTATTAAACACTACGCCATGAGCTCAACTCACTCTGATAAGCTGTGAGCGGTGAATTTGGGCCTAGATATGAGAGAATATATCTATGTGGTATGTGTGCACCACATAAAACAAATCCTGCAGCACACAGTGCATAATGAGAGGAAAAAAAACTAAGACCATAATTTTCGATTAAAACAGCGACTTTGCAGTGCTTTTTCATATGTTTTTTATAGTTGTATTTGCAATTTCTTGGTCTCATTTGATAGAATGGAAGATATATTATAGAAATAGATGATTTTGATTGGTTTTTAGTACTGGAAATGGCTTAAAACTGAGCTCAAATTAGTGGAAATGTTAAATTTTTGCCGATGTTCAAGAGTAAACAAATGGCCTCACACATCTAATACACACCAGCTGGTGGGTCTAATATACATTCACAAATGTGATGATATTATTTATACAATTATTACAATGCTGCATAACAATAAATCTTCTATTTTTTTGGTTTGAATAAAAATTCATTATGTGAATAAAAAATAAAAATGGAATTCATTTCTAAAGCCTGAAAATGTAACTAATGAACAGAGGAAATGTTAGTTTAGTGCCAGGAATGCCTGCATTGTTTATTCTGGACCCTATTTTGAAATTGGAATATTTTGAACTTTACGTTAAATTGGCCAAATTACCAATTTCTGATCACTTTATTTTGTAGTTGAAACAGTTGACTTGGCGATTTCTTGTGCTCAATCGATAGAATAGAAGTAATACTAGTGAAATAGCTAAAAGTTTGGTCGACTGGAATAATGTAATTGCCCTAAAATGGAAGTCAAAGAAAAAATTGCCAATGCGTAAATATCACTGACATCAAAATTCACGAGAGCATAATTTCATCTATTTTCCATCAAATTTCGTATTTGCTTTATTATTTTCAGAAAAAGATTCTCTACCATTTGATATGAAAAATGACAAAATTATTTTTTGAAAATTCTTGAACCCTGGTGCACACTGAAATTTGGCCTCTGGACCCTGAAAGGGGTAAAAAAAATTTTGTTTGATACTTCTGGGTGTCTGGAACGGATTAATTACACTTACACTATTTCTTATGGGGAAAATGGTTTCAGTTTTCGCCGAATTCAGTTTTGGCTGATGGCTCTGGAACGGATTAAATACAAAAACCGAGGGTCCACTGTACTTTCATACATTCCCTTCTTTGCTTCTATAGATAACGTTTTTTGTCTCCACATACACTTCAATGCACCACTCAACTTTGATGGTTTTCTTCCTTTTTCTTTTTAGTAGGCTATACAGGAAAAGGGGTTACTAGCCCATTGTTCCTGGAATTTCAGTTGACTTTTATGACATGCATGGCTTATGGAGGAAAGATTCTTATTCCACTTCCCCATGGATATAAAAGGGAAAGCAATAAAAACAAAAACTATTAAGATAAAATCAAAGAAAACTCGGATGAGTGTGTATACATAAACGTGTACATGTATGTTTAGTGTAACCTAAGTGTAAGTAGAAGTAGCAAGACATACCTGAAATCTTGCATGTTTATGAGACAGAAAAAAGACACAAGCAATCCTACCATCATGTAAAACAATTACAGGCTTTCGTTTTACACTCATTTAGCAGGACGGTAGTACCTCCTTGTGTGGTTGCTGTCTACCAACCTACTACTACTGGCTATATTTTATTAATCTAATAGAGTAAAAACTTATATATTTTGTGGTGATGGAGTTAAAACAGAGGGCAAGTGTAATAAAAGAAAGGCCTGGGGACACGATTATCACTTTCAGTGTCCAGATCCCTGATCTAAAAATTATTCACAGTGTCCAAGAATTGTCCAATTTTTTTTGTTATTTTTTCTCATGATATGGTAGAGAATATTTTTCTGAAAAAATAAAAAAAAAGTATGAAATTTGGCTTTTGAAAATTTTGCTGTGTCAGCGATATTTATGCATCGGCAATTTTGCCCAATTTGAGTCTGATTTTAGGCCCATTACACTGTTCCACTTACCAAATTTGTAGGTATTTTATTAACATGTCTTTCATTTTACCGACTGAACACAACTATTTCAACTGCCCAATAACATGATCAGAAAATGGTAATTTGACCAATTTCACAAATTTCAAAGTAGGGTCCAGAATAAACAATGCAGGCATTCCTAGCACTAAAATAACATTTCCTCTGTTCATCAGCTATGATCCCAGGCTTTACACATGAATTCCATTTTGAATATTTATTTACACAAAAGAATTTTTATTCTCACAAAAAACAGAAGATTTACTGTTATGCATTATTGTAATACTAATATGAACATCAGTGCAATCATGAAGCACATTTGACTGACCAGTTGGAAGCATGTTAGACGAATGACGTGATTTGTTTACTCTGGAATATTGGCAAAAATGAAGTATTTCCGCTACTTTGAGTTCAATTTCAAGCTACTTTCAATCCTGAATTACAGTGGACCCCCAGTTAACGATATTTTTTCACTCCAGAAGTATGTTCAGGTGCCAGTACTGACCGAATTTGTTCCCATAAGGAATATTGTGAAGTAGATTAGTCCATTTCAGACCCCCAAACATACACGTACAAACGCACTTACATAATTGGTTGCATTCGGAGGTAATCGTTATGCGGGGGTCCACTGTATTATTATAATCAAAATCATATCTATTTCTGTAATATATCTTTCATTCTATCAAATGATGCAAAGAAAGAGATAATAAAACCATAAAAATCATCCAAAAATACACCGCAAAGTTGAAATTTTAAACAAAAACATGGTTGCAGTTTTTTCCCCATGCAACTATGAAATAATTACTATCCTACTGTACAACTATGATATACTCCTTAGTGTTAAGTAGTCTGTAAGCCAATAATGTTAAGTTGGCCCATAATGCCTAGGCATAATAGAGGCTCTCTTTGCAGTGCAACCCATTATTGTAAATACAAAATCTCAATGTACTGTTTGCAAAGACAAAATAAATAAATACATAAATAAATAAATAAATAAATTTACCGCAGTGACCCATTTTCTCATATCTAGGCCCAAATTTACCACTCACTGCATATCTGAGTGAGCTGAGCTTATGGCATAATACTACAGCACAGACAGAAACTGCAAACCCATAGAACTATAGCATGGAGAGTAAATGGGTTAATGAAAAAAGGGCAGGTTGCTTTAGTTATTGGAATGCAAACAGTGTTTATTTTGAATTCTGATTCTAAATTGGAATTTGTTGAATTGTGTAAAATTGGCCAAATTACTTACTTCATTGCACTTTATAGGATAGTTCTGATAGTAGAATGGGGGTTTTCTTGGCTCAAGTGATATAATGGAAGGTCTTTCTCTTTCTTTCAACGTACCAGCCGTATCCCACTGAGGTGGGGTGGCCCAAAATGAAAAACGAAATTTAGTATATACATATACAGGAGAAGGGGTTACTAGCCCCTTCCTCCTGGCATTTTAGTCGCCTCTTACGACACGCATGGATAATGGAAGGTATACCAGCTAAATAACTAATGACTTGGTTGAACTAAGCAAACAAAATTTGCTTGAAATAAGACTTAAAAGTGGGAAAAAATCAGCACTGCATAAATTGCTCCCGGATCACCAACTTTGCATCTGTGTGTTTTCATAAGCTTTTCCATCAAATTTTGCATTTTTTACTGTCATTACCTTCAGAAATAGATTCTCCATTTCAGAAGAAAAAATTCATTTTTCTTTTTGAAAAGTCTTGAGTGTCAGCATTAATCAACTAAACTGCAAATTTTGTTCCCCAGCAAGGCATTATTTTCAGCTTTCCAAAAATCTAGCCTTACTAGCTGGCTTTCCAGAGCTTCCGTGTCAGTATTATTTGACTTGCACTCCATCTCAGGCTACTCACTTTCACTCTTTTCGGGCTTATGCACATAACTCTATTTTGCCCCGACTTTTTCTGTGACCAAACTACCTCAACAACCCTTCCTCTACTCTTTGAATTATATCTTTCGCACATCCTCACATCTCTGAATTTCTTCAATTCCTTTTTGTCTGTATAATCCTCACAAAAATAATATCAGATGATCCATTTCAACAGTTGTCCACCTCCCTCCCTGTTGCAATTATCACCCCCTATACTCCAACTTTTTTTTTTTTTTTTGTTTGTTTGTTTGTTTCTGCATCAAGTGACAAACTAAGTTCCACAACCTGTCTCTTAGGAAATCAAAGATTCTAAAACAATTTAATACACTATAAAATAATGTTTCTCATATTTAAGACAGCCACTGTGACAAATATCTCGCAGACCAATAATAAACGAAAATACATTTTTTAACAATGATTCTTTGAAGAGTTGCAAGGATTTGTCAGGGCTTTCACAGTTGTCAGAGAACTTGACACTAATATTTAGACTTGGTTATCATATTAGATATATGATGATGATAATTATCATGTCTAAATGAAGAATAAACATACAATATTTAATTGGTAAAAAAGTAAAACCTAAATGTGTTGAAACTTTTAGAAAAAAACTGACTATGCAATCAATTATTTTGTAGACTAGGGCACTATTCTCAAACTATTACTATGTTCATGAGTTCATGAGTTTTACATTTTCACTTGTTATCTTCTGTACTGCATTTTGTTTTCTCTCTGTGGTGGCTTCTTGAAGAAATGAAGATTTAGCTGTTTATAATCCATTTTCATTTGCCATGAAAATTAAGCACCTCAGAATTCAATTCACAGACATTCCAGTCATATTTATATAACTTAATACTGTACTGTAGAACTTTGTTCAATTTGTACAGAATACCTGGAAATTTACCAAAGAATTGTTAAGACCTTAAAAATATATGCCTGGCAAATCAAAAAGAAATATTCAATTGGTCATATAGTATTTTTACGTGTTCTAGACAGCTATGCCAGAAATTAGGGCATGCAAGCAACAATAAAAATTGAAACTTTCAAAAAAACTTACTTTGTAGTTGGAAACATGGATCTTGCACTCAGGGTGTCTCACTGCTTCACCTTTGTTTCTCATAAAAATGTCACACAAGGAGCAATAGTATGCTGGTAACGAATGAAGAAACTCCATGCCTGAAATATAGCATGATAAATCAAGTAATAAAATACTTTAATTTAAATATGTGTCAAGAAATAAAAATCAGAAACTGGACTAGGATGAAGGAACACACCAGGTACACTTACCCTGCAAAGGTACAGTCAGAACTTGGGCATTGGGAGGTTTAGGTTCTTTTTCTTCTTTGGGAGCTTTGGCCAACCATGACTTGCGGTCATTCTGGAAAAAAAAAAAAAGTATATTTAGTTATAGTAAAGCAACCTAAAAACTTAACTCTGAAGGAGGGGTGTAAATGTTGCAGTTTAAAAACTGTAGTGTAAAGCACCCTTCTGGCAAGACAGTGATGGAGTGAATGATGGTGAAAGTTTTTCTTTTTCGGGCCACCCTGCCTTGGTGGGAATCAGCCAGTGTGATAATAAAAAATAAATAAATAAATCAGCAAATGGTCAGGAATACCTGCTATGCACTATAAATGAATATGTATTAGTTTTAAAATGACCTATACTAAATAACTAGGGGTCATTTTTCTATAGTAAAAATAAGTAATCCCTAAAAGAAGTTTATAAATTTACAGTGCCAGGACCAAAATGTCAGTCTGTGCTTTATGTAATAAAACTTTTCACTCACCCTGACATGGTATACCCATATTGATTAAACATTAATTTTTTTTTTTTAACAAGTTGGCAAGTTACATATATGAAAGCTCAAAGACCAAGAACAATCAGGTGAGATTCTGGCAGAAAATTAAATAACAAGTGCATATATGAATTACTGACCTTAACTCTTGCCAAGTGAGTTGGTGCCATTAAATGGCTAACATATTCTGGAACAGTTTCACAAAATATGCTGCACAGTTTACACCAGTGCATGCCTTGGTCCATGTACCGAAGATAAGTCCTTTGCGTGGCAAGTGGGGCATACTGCAATGCTTCATCCATCTCTTCTTTAACAGAATCTTGTCTGCCTTTTCCTTGAAGACTTGCCTGTTTTTTATCTGTCTCAATATTTGCTTGGTGTTTTTTCACAATAGTCTGACTTCTCTCAGCTTCTGGAGTTGACAAGTGTCTTTTGCTTTCCCTTGATAAACTTGGAATTGGTGATTTTGATTTATTTTGTTTAGGTAATTTTGGAGCAGGTGACCTTGAATATTTGCGACTATGTTCTATTGACCTCTCTGGAGAATATGTTATACTATGCTTTTCTCTTTCTGGTGAATGCCCTAGCTTCCTTTTTCTTTCCCTTGAATGATAAGGACTTTCAGATCTCTCTCTTGATACTGAATTATGCTTCTGCTTAATATCTACTCGTTCAGCTTCAATTTCTTGGTTGACTTTATGAACCATATCTTTTATTTTATAAATCTGCTTTCCAATTTCAGTCATAAGAAAGGAGTTCTCTTCCAAAAGATTTGAAAGACTTTCTCGGCTTCCTTTATGATTTTTAATGATGTCATCACGTTGCTCACTCATCATATCCTTTTGTTCCAACAGCATTTTCACTCTTTTGATGAGAGATTCTCTCTTTGAAAGGAGCATCTCTACATCATTCTTTTCTTTTATAATTTCTGGTGATTTTTTTTCAGCCTTCCTTTTGTCGTGATCACTCATATCTGACCGAGATTCAGATTCTGAAGAGTTTCTCTTACGTTTGTTCTTCCTTTCTTTGTGTCTTTTATGTTTGGATCTTTTTGGACTTTCTGATGACTTTTTAACTTTATGTTCAACCATTGCTTTTTGAGAGGGTCTTCCTCCTCCTCCTGACCCCCCTGCTCCTCTACTTCCTTCAGGAGAGGAAAATGATGATTTAGTCTTTGTATACTCTCTTATATGATCAGCCGACTGGGTCAAAGGTGTGCTTAGAGTAGATACTCCATAAGTACTTGAGGCTGAAGAAGTGCTAACACCTGACATAATTACATGACTCTTTGTCTGTGGTACTGTTGCAGAGGCACTTACAGATACAGATTGTCCACTTGGGAAAAGCATAGTCTTTGACTGAGATGCTTTTTCTACATTTTCTTCTTGCTTTCTGTCTTTTAGGTGAGCATTTTCATAGGCTAGCACAGGCTCTGATTCAGAAAGAGGCATAATTTTGGCTGGTCTTTTTGCTTCTCGTCCTGATACTGCATCATCTTGAAGGCCTTCAATTTTGTCTTTTCTGTGGAAATATTAAAAAAATAATTGTCTCAGAGCATTATATCATTATATTTAGAATTTTTTTATGCTTTTCTTTTATTTTTGAAATCACACATCCTGTAACATAGTACTGTATGTATTTGGAAAACAAGAGCATTTATAAAGATTTTTTCCTGGTTACTAATAGACATATACAGCCAGATACACTTTGGGTAATATGTATTAGGTTGGCAGACAGCAACCACCCAGGGGGGGTACTACTGTCCTGCCAAGTGAGTGTGAAATGAAAGCCTGTAATTGTTTTACATGGTAGGATTGCTGGTGTCTTTTTTCTGTCTCATAAACATGCAAGATTTCAGGTACTTCTTGCTACTACTACTTACACTTAGGTCACACTACACATACATGTACAAGCATATATGCACACACCCCTCTGGGTTTTCTTATATTTTCTTTCTAGTTCTTGCTCCTGTTGATTTCCTCTTATCTCCATGGGGAAGTGAACAGAATTCTTTCTCCGTAAGCCATGCGTGTTGTAAGAGGCGACTGAAATGTCGGGAGCAAGGGGCTAGTAACCCCATCTCCTGTATATATTACTAAATGTAAAAGGAGAAACATTCGTTTTTCATTTTGGGCCACCCCGCCTCAGTGGGATATGGCCGGTGTGTTGAAAGAAAGATACATTGGGTACTTGTCTGTACAATTCTTAAGCTTCACTCTGAATATGTAAGTGTTATTAAACTGCAGTTTCAAATATGGTATCCAAGAGTAAGACTTAATGTCTGTACAGTGCCTCAAACATTATTTCTTGGATGTGAAAAAAATTATCAAAGTTATTTCTTTTTTAATTTCAAAACCTAGGAAAATGTCAGCAAGATTTATTGGCAGCTCTTCCTTATAACTTTTGGGTAACCAATAACCCATTCACTTGAGATGCCCAAGTATCCTCGTTTTTCCCACCATATTCACTCTACACAGAATATTATAGCCTCATATAATAGGTCTTTTGCATTTATGGGGGGGGGGGGTTACCAGATTCCTATTATTATTATAATAAAAAAGAAGTGCTAAACCACAAGGGCTATACAGCGCTGCAGGGGAGGGAAGGAAGCGAGGGTATCGGGCGGCAGAAGGGGGGAGGGATGATTAGTAGGTTACAGAAAACAGTGGGGCAGGGAATAGTGTGGGGATAGAGGGTAGCAAGAGATTGAGGTAGAAAGGGCTGAAGGCATCATCATCAAAGTTTGTGGAGTAAGTCAGTTGTTGTCAAAAAGTCAATGAGAGAGTCCGGATGAAAGGTGGGTCCATCAGCAAGAAGGGAAGGTAAAGAGAGAGCAGCAGAGCGAAGACGATGTTGGAGGTAAATTCTGTGTGCTCGTTGATAAAGTGGGCAGTCTAACAGAATGTGGCTGACCAATACTGGAACCTGACAATTCTCACAGAGAGGAGCAGGGCACATCTCCATGAGATGCCCATGAATAAGACGAGTGTGGCCAATGCGAAGGCGGGAGAGAGTAGTCTCCCAACCTTGACACTGATGACAAGAAGACGGCCAGTAACCTATACTCGGTTTAATAGAATAAAATTTGTTATTGAGCAGAGCAGACCAACATTGCTGCCAAAGGGTGTGAAGGTGGGTAGCTATAACAGCAAAATAGTCCGTGAATGGAACACCTCTACATGAAACTGGAAGGTCATGTACTGCTGACTGCGCAGCTGTGTCTTCCTGTTCATTGCCCTGTACGTCAACATGACCAGGGACCCAACAAAAAACAATATCTTCATGTTTGGTAGAGATACGGCGTAACCAAAGTTGGATACGGAGAACTACGGGGTTAGGTGTATCAAATTTTTGTATAGCCTGTAAAGCACTAAGGGAGTCTGAAACAACCACAAATGATGACATAGGCAAAGATGCAATACGGATAAGTGCTGCAAGAATGGCATACAATTCAGCAGTAAAAATGCTAGCCGAAGATAGTAAATGCCCTCGCACGACGCTGTCCGGAAGCACTTCTGCGAATCCGACACCGTCAGAAGACTTAGAGCCATCTGTGTACACTGCAATGGCATGAGAATGAGAGTGGAAGTGGTCAAGAAAACGAGAGCAGGAAGCTACCATAGGTAGTTGGGTGTTTGAGCAAGGGAGTGAGAAAGAACAGACTCGAACAGCTAGAACTTCCCAGGGGGGGGTAGGGAAAAGTGAGATGTTACATGAACATAGAAAGGTGGCAATTGAAGGGAAGACAAGAGCGAATGTAGGCAAAGAGAAAAGGGACAGAGCAAACAGGGGCGGCGAACAAATAAAGAATGTCTACTAATATCGGTGACTATATAAATGGAAGGATTGCGGAGATCATGAGAGCGTACATAGCAGCGAAGGCAATGGTCATCACGGCGATCAGACAAGGATGGAACATTCGCTTCTGCATAGAGGCTCTCAACAGGGGAAGAGCGAAAAGCACCAAGGCATAAATGTAATCCCTGATGATGGATGGAATTAAGGCTAGAGAGAGTAGCAGCAGAGGCCGCTGAATAGATCTGGTCACCATAATCAAGTTTTGATAAAATGAGGGCTGAATGTAGGCGAAGGAGAGCTCGACAATCAGCTCCCCATGAAAGATGAGCAAGGGTTTTAAGAAGGTTCAGCCGACTGTGACAAGTTGCCTTCAGAGAGCTAATGTGAGGTTTCCAGGATAACCTACGGTCAAAGAGAAGGCCTAGAAACCTGACTGTATCATGTTCAGGAATACGTGAGCCATAAAGGTACAAAGGATGATCGGAAATGACAGAGCGTCTAGTGAAAGTAATTTGGAGAGTTTTGGTACTGGGAAATTTAAACCCATGTGTGGTGGCCCAATTAGAAACACGGTCGACCGCATGCTGGAGAGAAACTGTAATGAGGTGACAGTCAGCGCCTGCACAAGCAATAGCGAAGTCATCAACATAGAGTGACGACCAAATATTGGATGGAAGACTAGAGGCCAAATCATTTATAGCAAGGAGAAAAAGTGTTGTGCTCAGAACACATCCCTGGGGGACACCTTCAGCTTGGACAAAGTCCGGGGAAAGCACATTATTAACCCGAACACGGAAATGTCTGTCAGTTAAAAAGTTCTTAAGGAAGGATGGTAGATTGTCTCGAAGACCTAAGGAGTGGGCTTGGGCCAACATATTATACCTCCAAGTTGTGTCATATGCCTTCTCAAGGTCAAAAAATATGGCAATAACTGAGTGGTTATTCGCAAAGGCATTACGAACATACGTGTCTAAGCGTAGTAAGGAGTCTATGGTAGAACGTCCCTTACGAAAGCCATATTGACTAGTGGAGAGACTGTTGTGTGTCTCTAAATACCACATTAACCGTCGATTTACCAGACGTTCCATCACTGCAAACTGCACTGGTAAGAGCAATGGGACGATAGTGGGAGGCATCATGTCCGGCCTGGTCACAGACCGGGCCGTGGGGGCGTTGACCCCCGGAACTCTCTCCAGGTAAACTCCAGGTAGTACCCAGTTTACGGAACAGGAGAACAATGGCAGATTTCCACAACTGGGGAAGAACTCCTTGTGACCACATAAGATTTAAGAGGTGTAAGAGGACTGCAAGAGCTGACTTATGTAAATGTTGTAACATCCGAATATGAATGTCGTCAGGCCCAGCTACCGATGATCGGCAAGCTTAGTGTGTCGCCTCTAGTTCTTGAAGTGTAAAAGGCACATTATATGGTTTTTCTTTGAGAGAAAAAAAGTCCAAGGGTGCTAACTCTCTGGCAGACTTTGAGGAAAGAAACGAGGGGCATAGATGGAGCCACTGAGAAATATGGAAAGATTTTTGCCAATTTCAGTGGCAACATCAAGAGGGTTTGCTATATCAGCACCAGCAACCCACAGAACAGGAGCCAGGTCAGGAGAGTATTTACCACTCAATTTCTGCACATTTTTCCAGACTGCACTCATAGAGGAAGCAGAGGTGATGGTGGTATTATTATTATTATAATAAAAAAGAAGCGCTAAGCCACAAGGGCTATACAGTGCTGCAGGGTAGGGAACGAAGTGAGGGTATTGAATGGCAGAAGGGAGGAGGGATGATCAGTAGGTTACAGAAAACAGCGGGGCAGGGGATAGTACTGGGGTAGGGGGTAGCAAGAGATTGAAGTAGAAAGGGCTGAAGGTATCAGAATTTGTGAAGTAAGTCAGTTGTTGTCAAAAAGTCAATGAGAGAGAGTGGATGAAAGGTGGGTCCATCAGCGAGAAGGGAAGGTAAAGAGAGGGCAGCAGAGCGAAGACGACGACGGAGGTAAATTCTGCATGCTCGTTGATAAAGTGGGCAGTCCAACAGAATGTGGCTGACTGATAATGGAACTTGGCAATTCTCACAGAGAGGAGCAGGGCGCCTCTCCATGAGATATCCATGAGTAAGACGAGTATGGCCAATGCGAAGACGGGAGAGAGTAGTCTCCCAACCTCGACACTGGTGATAAGAAGATGGCCAGTAACCTATACTCGGTTTAATAGTTTTGAAGTTTGTTGCCGAGCATAGTAGACCAACGTTGTTGCCAACGGGTGTGAAGTTGGGAAGATATTGCAGCAAAATAGTCCGTAAATGGAATACCTCTACATGAAACTGGTAGGTCATGTACTGCTGACCGCGCAGCAGTGTCTGCCTGTTCATTGCCCTGTACGTCAACATGACCAGGGACCCAACAAAAAACAATATCTTTATGCTTGGTAAAGATGCGGCGTAGCCAAAGTTGGATACGGAGGACTAAGGGGTGAGGTGTATCAAATTTCTGTATAGCCTGTAAAGCACTAAGGGAGTCTGAGACAACCACAAATGAAGACACAGGCATAGATGCAATACGGATAAGTGCTGTAAGGGTGGCATACAATTCAGCAGTAAAAATACTAGCCGAACATAGTAAATGCCCTTGTACGACGCTGTCCGGAAACACTGCTGCGAATCCTACGCCATCAAAAGGGACTTAGAGCCATCTGTGTACACAGCAATGGCATGAGAAT